AAAAAGTATGCAGAGTATTGGCAGATGAGAAGCAAAAAAAGAGTCGTCAGGTGCTAAAAAATAAACCTTAGACTCAAACGTTAGAACAGGCTTTCCCCGCAGCACGCCGTGTAATAAATACTCGCAAAGAAAACGGCGGCCGTTACAACCCATGTCTAAAAATGTGTAGTTTCATGCATCGGTTAAAACACTCAACTCCAGGTACAAGACGCCCAGCTGGAAACACTTCACCTACCTGAGATTCACAGAATGTACAGAAAATATTACATTTTTTGTGATTTATATCGTTATTGGACGATAGATGTTTTATATCAGGATATGAGATTTTGGTCATATCGCACAGCCCTAGGGTAGACGGCTACTAAAGTCATAAGTAGTTCTAAAAGAGCATTAAATAAATAAGAGGGCAAAGGTTAATGTCAATGCCAGAGGCAACAAAAGTGCCACGTCTCTTAAAGGCCTCTGTTACCACAGAGCTGGTAGCAGAGGCCCAGTTGGATAATAAAAAACATCTTTACAGACACCAAGTTAAACACTCACACACGCATGCACACGTCATCTGGATTTTCCAGTGAACTTTATCACAGCAATCCCAGCAGTGTGCGTTTGTTGACTTTGGAGTCTTAGATCCTACAGCATCCGTGTTTTTGACGAGAAAGCTGATGATAAAGAACAGCTCAGCTGTCTGCGATGGGATCCCAGGCATGCACAGGCCTATCCCTCCTGAAGTCTTCCTCTAATACATGCATTAAAGTCAATTACGTGCTAGGCTGTTCATGGGATACAAATGATTCACAGAGAGAGCCCTGGGCTTCTGAACCTGATTATACAAGAATGACTTGCGTAATCAGGGTTTTGGGAATCATTTTCCTGTGAGAAATGAAATGGATACACAAAGATATCTCTTTGCTCCTCCTACTCGTTGCTAAGGTCAGTAGAAAAGGGGGGGAGAGAAAGAGAGAAGGGTGCATCTTTGGGCCAAATTCGAGCAAATTCTGATTGGGCAAAGAAGCTTACTCCCTTACTCAAATGAAATTTTTCTACCGTATCAGTTTTTTAGGTTGTGAGGGCAACACATCCACAAAACCTCCTCTCTCTGCAGAGACAGTACAGTGTTCTAAAACTGGTGCAGCGCAGGTTCACATTGTCCCTGTTTAGAGGGGGACCAGTGCACTTTGCAGCACAATTGAGTTATTGCAGTCATTTATCATGGGGGGGAAATGGGATATGTCAGCAAATACACAGCTGATTTGGGTTTTCAACATTTACCTGCAATGATCCAACAGCATTAGTCTTTGACTGCGATCCAGAAATGACATTATTTAGATTGATTTTATATGCACAGGCTTTAATACTTGCCCTGCATGTGTGCTGCCATAGTAAACAACAAGCAGCCAGAGTGTTTATAAGAAGTACAGCGTGCAGAAACTCATACATCCACACATACACATAAATACTGTGTGAGTTTTGAAAGGAGGACAGCTATAAGTTCATACGTGTCTCTCACTGCATGCAAGCTCAAACACAAGTGAAGCGAGCTTTAGCTGCAGAGCTTGTGCCTATCGAGCGGACCACAATAGTTAATCAGTCCCAAACTCCACTTTCACTAGCTGCTTGCTGTTAAATAACCACTGTGGTGATAAAACAGATGGTGGGACAGCTGATAGTTAGTAAAGATAGCATTCCTCAACAACTTCACCTCAGGTGGTAATAAGTTTGTCTCAATGACTGTTCGCAGTTTAGACTGAGCCCTAGTCAATAAGCTGTTGTGATCACGCTGCTAACACTCCCTATCGACAGTGGCCTACTAAGGATGTCGTGCTCAAAACTTTTTCTTTCTTCAGAAATCAACTTTTAGCCCAAAATAGGACTTCACTTCCTTGGGTGTGAAGCAGATTGGATGAATGGTGGTGAGGAGAGAGAGGGG